ATGACAGAGTGGTGTCGATATTCTATTCAGGACAAATCGAACAGTCAGTTACACACCCATTCCAGACGGATGGAGCTTCCCAGTCGCGAGAGGCATCCGCCAGTTAAACAAGCCAACGCAAGCCAACGCAGGATGCCGCAAGGTGATCTGCCCTTTCGTCCAGTCATGTCTGTTAGGTGAGGCTCTTGTTCTCCAGGCTACAGAATTCCCAGGGGCAGTTCGCGAAACCCACACCTGCATGAGGTCGGGGCCAATGTTCCAATGAGCGTCGAATACAGACCTCCAGAAACCGTCTCAAAAACGGCGAGTTCGGGTGGATCGCGGTGCTGATTCGCTGGTGGCGGCCGTTTTGACATGGGCTTCGCCATAATTTCCAGCACCAGCCTGGATATTGGTCCCCATCGGCCTTGTGGGACACCATGATTGATGCCAGGCCTTGCAAGTTTCTTGCAATCCAAGACAAAATGCTGTACGGAGTGCTGCAATACCAAAAGAGCCGGTAGCCGAATGCGTCGAGACGTGGCGACTGGCAAACACCAGGAACCCAAGCACCAAGGAAGCAACGCGAGACAAGGTCAATCAATGCAGGGGTCTGGGTCTGGATCCATGCCGTGTAATAGCTGACATGGGTTGGAAAGTTGCCAATTCGCAAAGAGTTTGAAGCAAGGTCTGGAGAAGATTGAAAAAGTTGACAAACACTTTACTTGCCTGTTGGGCCAAGCAATTATCCGATTCAAGTGCCGAGTTTGCACAAGAGTTGTCATGTGACGTCTGGTACAGGAAATTTCAACGACGATATATTCGCGATGCCATCATTTCACCCTCTGTTGTCGAAAACGTACCCTGCTACCCAAAATCAAGAAAAGCACTTGAGACCATATCCGGACTACGCCCAAAACACCTTGACGGTACCGCGCAATCGCAGCTGGTCAAATCATTTGCATGGCATCGATCTCGGAAATCCCCAGTGTTCCGGTACCCAGAGTTTGTATGTATTGAAGCAATTCTTACTTTTTTTTTTGGCAAAGTTCTAAGTTACTACCTTGCATGAATTGATCATCCTTTGTTATATGAACGCCTTCAAGCAAGCCCATCAAGTCCCCACAGCTTCTCGAGTTATGCCAGAACAGAGTAAACAGAACTCTGACCTCAACATCGCAGATCTTAGCTGGCCCACTCTCGCTTGAAGCTGATTGTTGTTAATAATAGCTGTTCCTTCAAACCACTAGCTGAGGTTTCGTCCGATTCCGTCCAGTCACATGGGCTACATGTGTCGCATGGAGCCCTGCCTTGCTTTTATGCCCCACTGAATATGGGCCTTTGAAACGGGATGGCGTTTCTTCACATCCTCGTGCATTGAAGTCGTAAATTTGGAGCGTCAAAACTCGGGCCTGCAATTTCCCTGGCGAGTCTGCCCATCAGCAAGTCTTTAAAGTCGGATGCGGGCTGACCAAAGCTGATTTATCAAAGGAGAAAACGTTTTGCGAACCCCCTCGCTCGATGACGGAACATGACTACTGCGTGGGAGATGCACCAGTGGCCATGTCAGCGCAGATTGGCCGCTTCTAAATCGGATGCTCGGCTTACGCTGCGCTGGCAATTGTTACCATCCACTCACATTGGCTGCCGGATCTTGCGTGATTTAGAAGTGCTAGCCATACTCACAGTTCGACTGTCGGCTTGAGAGACGTGACTAGGACTCCTCGACCTGATTCCCGGCAATACTGGTCGAGCTGGTTCACGTGAAGGGCCTATATTGTCGCCGCCAACACAACGACATGCTCAAATGTCTAGCACGGCCAGAGCTCTTAGGCCGAAACGAGTCTCCCGAGGTCCGCACCTGATGTATCGTCTGCACTCGCGTCGGCGCTCGAAACCAGTGAGCGCGAAGCCGAATGTGAACCAACCGTTTTGTCACTGTTGAGTAGGAGAAACAAAGTGCGACGAGGCAAAATCTGCTGGCCTGGGCTGTCTGGAGTCGGGATCCGAATGTGATGGGTACCAAGCTGTGTTCCCTTCCTCTGAAGCTCTCACTCGGTAATCATCTCCTGCGGTAGATGTTGAGGGTGATGATGGACCACGTGTCTTTGCTTATTACAATAGCCAGCTGATTTTCATTCTAGGAGGCATCCACGCTGTCAAATTCCAGGGCGAAACGGTTCAGTTTAGCCGAACGACTCGTCGTTCTTCTCCTGTCTCCTTACTCAAATACGAATTAGTCAGTAATGGCGCGGATCGCAGAAAAGAGCGAGCTTTGCATTTGGAGGGTATAGAAAAGCCATAAACGAGATGAGAAAGTTGGACTTCCAAGAATGGGTCAATGGTTATCCCCTCCTTGGTTTGTATCTTCTTCACGTGCATCGAGTTTATGCTTGATCGCCATTAACTTTCACAACTTCATAATACCAAGTACGAAAATTGCTCTCCAGTCTTGAGGGGGGCACATATTCTACCGTCTTGCAACTGTTTGAACTAGCCTATTTTAACCACATCTCTGCCTTTGGTTCTGTAATATCACTCTCTTCAGAAATGGTGAAGCAGACCAATCTCTCGAAGAAGACTTCGGGTTTCAGCTTCGAGACAGAACCCATTGCGGCACTGTACTGGAAGCCACTAAAAGCTGCACTCCTTCTTTTAGATGTGCTGCTCTTCGATTATTGCTCAATTGTGAGCTGAAAAACAGGAAAGAAATCTATGATATGCGAAGAAAGCAAGTATAATAGCAGCCAGGTTTATAAAGATGGAAGGGAGATCTTTATGCAACGGCAGGTCAAGGCTAAAGCCCGATAACATCTCCCCTACAGGAGTTTGTGCTTACACAGACATCTTATTGCGATTCTTTGTGATGGTGGAACGACAACGACTTGCATGCACCTCTGTCCAAGCTACCGGCTCTTGTACTTTGTGCGGCTTTGAAACTGCGGCGGTTGCGCTAGATGGTGCCTTCGTAGGAGATGGAGAAAACCTCACTTGATCGGTCAATACAGCAAAGATATCCAGGAGAAATTCACCAGTGAAGTCTGTGTGGTCCAGATGACCTCCAACCTACCACGGCATTCGAGTCTCTCTTCGCCTTTCGATATGCCTGATGGGAAGGGAGCAAAGGACATGTTGGTTTTACCAAGACAACCCGGAGGCGTTTCAAAAGCCATGTTCCGAGACTTGGGTGACGACCAATAGAATTGAGATAGAAGGAAAGAGTGTGTGACAGCGTAATTCTGAATTCAGCGTCGGCATGTTCGATGTACTTCAAAAATGTGGCGAAACGGATATGTATTGACATTCTTCATTCTGTAAATCAACCATGCAAACAGAGACGTCACAAAAAGGGCACCTCGTTCTCAATTTTGTCACAGACCTACCAAGGTTCTGTTTCAATTTTCATTCGTGGGGTATCATTCTTCGTCTATCACATGTACCATACTTTCATAGTTCCATCAACTCTTTACTACTTCGCCATTCCTAGCCATAACCTCGGCCGCCAGCTTCCGCCGTTTGTTCCTTTCATCTTGTTCTGCCAGAACTTTGACAGTAAGGGATGCTGCCATAGGATTATTGATGCCGCTTATTCTCGAGTCAGCATCCTTCTTTGGTTGTAATGCATCTGCCTTCATGGCCTTGCCGTCATTCTCGGTGCCTTCGTCACCCTTCCGTTTCTTTTTGCTCTTTTTCTCTGATTTATCCTTCTTTAGGCTGTGCGTCAAGCCCTTCTCCCGTAGATCGTCTAGCCTCTTCTCCAGCCGCCGGACATCTTTTTCGGTCGTCGGCAATATTGTGATTGCGTTGTCCTTCTCGAAGTTCTCACCACACTCAGGACACGAGCTCTCTTGAATTTCTGTAATGGCAACTTCAGCAAAAGCGTGGCCACAAGGGACCAGGTACACGGCCTTAGTGGATGGTCCCATCTCCTTCATTGAGATGGGACATGCCCATTTACCGTCCGCCTTTGAGAACTTCAGCCGCACAACGTCTCTGAGTGATTTGATGCCAAATGTGGCGGGAGTTGTTTCGACTGGCTCGTCCGATGGCATTAACCCACTAAGAATGGCTTCATAATTGAACAGCCGCCCTTTCCAGTCTGATACAGCAGTTTCCATCTCCAGAATAGCGCCACTGAGAGCGCAATGAGTCCACGCATGGGTAAGCGATTCTAAAGCAGTAGCTTTGAGTTCAGACACCGTAGGCGCGCGAGCGGCATTCTTGACGAGTTCTCGCCGCTTTGGAATGGAGCCACCGTCGTTGCCCATGGTGATAAAGTGAAAGACAGTGATAAAGTAGTGTCAATAGAGTATCGTGCGTCGCTGGAATACGGTGATGATCTCGCGGCAGTCTGAGTCGATATGCAATTTGTGGCTTGTGTATGTGGTTGAAACGAATATGGTGGTAGAGTGAAGATTAGAGTTGGTTGCACTGATGGAAGTGGTTGTTTATCGATAATGGTTTTGGGCCAATACTAGAGTACGGTGCGTATTATGTAAGCTAGTCCCAAGTACTTGAACTTCTCAAAAAAACAGTGACGTCTGAAAGTACCGTCAACTTCATTCTGTATCCATACAGTGCGATGCACGGCGCCCATGTGACAAGGACCCACAGGAGGTGATGGTCGCTCGTCGCGGGAGGCACCGCCAACACCCTCACATTCGGCCAGGCAACGCCTCTTGTCGATCTTGACTCCTCCGGTCAAGGCCTCTTACCATTGCGGATTCCTTCGCAACTCCTTTTCTGTCCTTCTGAAAAGCTTTACCGACCTTCCCTTCCGTAATATAGACATAATTACGAGCCGTAGGGAAATTGACACATCCGAACGACCGTTAGCACCGGCCGCGAGTGTTTATCCACTCACACTCCTTCATCACACGACGGCTGCGCGATCGATCCGCTTATTCCTTGTAATACATAGAATCGAGGCACTGCGACGATTTAGTCATTTGATCAATTTTATTAGTTGATACTCTTGTTCATGTTGGCCTGATTTCCGAGCTCCGGCGCCATAGGGGACGATGGCGCAACAACAGCAAGTCGCTCTTGAGCGGCTTGAGCACATCACTAGGGGCCTACGGTCTCGGTAGGATGCTTCTAGCCTTCGGCATGGCTTCTTTCGCTTACAGATGGATAGTGTTGGAGACGATGTGCGCAAGCGAGCTGCTATTCAGCTCCGTGACCTTGTGGTCGTTTGCCATCGAGGTAAATTCAAACATCCCACCTTGCCACGATTGGGCCGAATTCGACTGACAATGCAAGCATAGACCTGAGCCAAGAGCAGTTTCTTGCCTTCTACAATGCTGTCAATAATAAAATTACTCAACTTATTACCCATGGCAGCGACTCTGCGGAGCGTCTGGGCGGCATCTACGCACTAGACGCCCTTGTCGAATTCGACGGCGTTGATGTTGCGGCCAAGTATACTCGATTCACGCAGAACATCAAGACAATTCTACGCGGCAAAGATATAAACCCAATGAAACCGGCAGCCATTGCGCTTGGAAAATTATGCCGACCTGGAGGCTCTCTCATCTCCGAATTAGTCGATTCTGAAGTAAATACCGCGTTGGAGTGGCTCCAAAACGACCGAGTCGAAGAGCGTCGGTATAGTGCTGTCCTCGTTCTCAGAGAGTTGGCGAGGAATGCACCAACGTTGATGTACCAATATATTCCAACGATATTTGACTGGATTTGGGTCGGATTAAGAGATCCTCGACAGCTCATCCGAGAGACTTCGGCAGACACAGTCGGTGCCTGTTTCCGCATCATCCGCGAACGAGACCAAGAGATGAAACAGATTTGGATGAGCAAGATTTACAACGAGGCTAGGCAGGGTCTTAAGGTCAACACTGTCGAGTCCATCCATGCCTCCCTACTAGTTCTGAAAGAGCTGCTTGAGCAAGGAGGCATGTACATGCAGGAGCATTACCAGGAAGCTTGTGAAATTGTATTCAAACACAAAGACCACAGAGACCCAACCACCCGAAGAACAGTTGTGTCGCTCATTCCTGATCTGGCCAGCTACTCGCCGGCCGATTTTGCGCACTCGTGGCTGCACAAATTTATGGTCTATTTATCCGGAATGCTCAAAAGAGACAAGGAACGGAATGATGCATTCTTGGCTATTGGAAATATTGCCAACTCTGTCAAGAGTGCCATTGCCCCTTATCTTGATGGCGTCCTCATTTACGTCAGAGAAGGTCTTAGTGTTCAGTCGCGCAAGAGAGGCTCTGTCGATCCTGTCTTTGACTGCATCAGCCGATTGGCGGTTGCTGTTGGGCAAACATTGAGTAAATACATGGAGGCACTTTTGGATCCCATTTTCGCTTGCGATTTGACCCCAAAGCTCACCCAAGCACTAGTGGACATGGCGTTCTATATCCCCCCGGTTAAGCCTACCATCCAGGAAAGGCTTCTGGATATGCTGAGCGTTGTCCTTTGTGGCGAACCTTTTAAGCCACTTGGTGCACCTCAGCCCAACACTCTTAGCTCGGTTCCTGCCATCACTAAGGACGTCAAGGACCCCCAGGCATACGAGAATCGACGGTCAGAAGTCAAGTTGGCGCTTAATACGCTGGGCAGCTTTGATTTCTCCGGACACATTTTGAACGAGTTCGTTCGCGATGTCGCCATAAAATATGTGGAAGACGAAGACCCTGAAATTCGAGAAGCTGCTGCTTTGACGTGCTGTCAGTTGTATGTGCGGGATCCGATTGTCAACCAAACTAGTTATCATGCCCTGCAGGTTGTTGGCGACGTAATTGAGAAACTACTGACTGTGGGCATTTCGGATCCCGACTCTCATATCAGACGAACAGTCCTGGCTGCCCTAGATGAGCGTTTTGATCGTCATCTTGCAAAGGCTGAGAACATCAGGATTTTGTTCTTTGCCCTGAATGATGAAGTGTTTGCCATTCGCGAAGTTGCTATCTCGATTATCGGTCGGTTGGCGCGATTTAATCCTGCATACGTCATTCCCTCATTGCGCAAGACTCTAATTCAAATGCTTACGGAGCTCGAGTTCTCGGATGTGGCACGAAACAAGGAAGAAAGCGCCAAGCTGCTGAGTCTTCTGGTACAGAATGCTCAGTCACTCATTAAACCTTATGTTGAGCCTATGATATCAGTACTTCTGCCGAAAGCTAAGGACTCTAGTCCGTCAGTTGCGGCTACTATCCTCAAGGCACTGGGAGACCTCGCGACAGTCGGCGGCGAAGATATGCTACCGTATAAAGATCGCTTGATGCCATTGATTATTGATGCGCTGCAAGACCAGAGTTCAAATATTAAGCGGGAGGCTGCTCTCAACGCTCTGGGCCAGCTGGCTAGTAACTCTGGCTACGTCATTGAGCCGTACCTGGATTATCCCCAGCTCTTAGAAATTCTGCAAGGCATCATACGTACAGAGGACCAGAGAGGCCCTCTGCGGCAACAAACTATTAAGCTCATGGGTATTCTGGGTGCTCTGGATCCGTACAAACATCAGCAGGTGGAAGAGCACACGCCTGAAATCCAGCGACGAGTCGACTCGAACCAGATGACTGATATTTCGTTGATGATGACCGGGTTAACACCCTCTAATAAAGAGTATTTCCCCACCGTTGTCATCAACGCACTGCTGCAAATTCTTAAAGATACCTCTTTGGCCCAGCACCACGCGGCTGTTATTGAGGCAATAATGAATATCTTTCGCACTTTGGGCTTGGAGTGCGTTTCGTTTCTCGATAGGATCATCCCAGCATTTTTGCAAGTGATTCGATCTTCAGCCTCGACCCGACTAGAATCTTATTTCAATCAATTAGCGACGCTAGTCAGCATCGTTCGCCAGCATATTAGGAACTATCTCCCGGACATCATACAGATACTTCAAGATTACTGGGATAAATCACCATCATTACAAACGACAATCCTGTCCCTCGTAGAAGCAATTTCGCGGTCGTTGGAAGGAGAATTCAAAGTTTACTTAGCTGGTATTCTGCCCAACATGCTCGGAGTGCTTGACAAGGATTCATCTGCCAAGAGAGTGCCCTCTGAGCGAGTCTTGCATGCCTTCCTTGTTTTCGGTGCCAGCGCTGAAGAGTATATGCACTTGATAATTCCTGTTATTGTTCGCACTTTTGAAAAGCAAGGGCAACCTGTGTTCATACGAAAGCACGCCATTGATACTATTGGCAAGATATCACGGCAAGTCAATCTGAATGACTATGCAGCGAAGATAATTCATCCACTCACTCGAGTGCTTGATAGCGGCGACCCTGCTCTGCGGGTGACGGCCCTTGATACGCTTTGTGCTTTGATACAGCAACTTGGAAAGGACTATGTGCATTTCATGCGCACGGTCAATAAAGTCATTACTCAGCATCAGATACAGCATCAAAATTACGATCTTCTTGTGAGCAAGCTTCAAAAGGGTGAAGTTTTGCCACAGGATTTGACATCCGAGTCACGATTTGCTGATATTGCAGATGAAACACAGTTCGCGGATCTGGGAACTAAGAAATTGGAGATGAACGCAATTCATTTAAAGGCGGCATGGGACACAAGAGGCAAATCCACCAAGGAGGATTGGCAAGAGTGGCTCCGGCGGTTCAGCACGACCTTACTGACAGAGTCGCCAAACCATGCACTTCGTGCATGCGCAAGCTTGGCAAGTGTTTATCTGCCGCTGGCCCGTGAGCTCTTCAACTCGGCGTTTGTATCTTGCTGGAGTGAGCTGTATGAACAGTTTCAAGATGAGCTGATACAGAACATTGAGAGCGCTATCAAGTCGGAGAACGTCCCACCCGATCTGTTGGGACTGCTTTTGAACCTTGCTGAGTTTATGGAACACGACGACAAGGCTCTCCCAATTGATATCAGAGTACTCGGACGAGAAGCTGCCAGATGTCATGCGTATGCAAAGGCACTTCATTACAAGGAGCTGGAATTCCTGCAAGATCAGAGTAGCGGCGCTGTCGAGGCACTCATTGTCATTAACAACCAGCTTCAGCAGTCTGATGCCGCCATCGGTATTTTACGAAAGGCTCAGCTTTATAAGGAAGGCATACAGCTTCGTGAGACCTGGTTTGAGAAGCTTGAGAGGTGGGAAGAGGCTCTAGCTTTTTACAACAAGCGTGAACGAGAGATCCCTGCTGACCAGCCCACCCCAATTGAAATCGTCATGGGTAAAATGAGATGTCTGCACGCCCTTGGAGAATGGGATGCGCTTGCCAACCTCACCGGCAGCACTTGGGTCAATTCTGCTCCTGAGGTGCAACGGATGATTGCGCCGCTCGCCACCGCTGCTGCATGGGGGCAAAACAAATGGGACCACATGGATAACTATCTGTCGTCTCTTAAACGGCACTCGCCAGATAGATCCTTCTTTGGTGCCATACTTGCGCTCCACAGAAATCAGTTTCGTGAGGCTGTCGCGTGCATCGAGCAGGCTCGTGAGGGTCTGGATACCGAGCTGAGTGCTCTTGTTAGCGAGTCTTACAACAGAGCATATCAGGTTGTCGTCCGAGTTCAAATGCTCGCGGAATTAGAAGAACTTATTGTTTACAAGCAGTGTGACGAGAAGAAACAGGCAACAATGCGCAAAACTTGGGAGACCAGATTACAGGGATGTCAGCGTAACGTTGAGGTTTGGCACAGAATGCTACGCCTTAGAGCCTTGGTCATCTCACCGGCGGAGAACATGCGTATGTGGATCAAGTTTGCCAATCTTTGCCGTAAATCTGGCCGCATGGGGCTGGCCGAGAAGTCCTTGAAGCAGCTCATCGGCAGTGATGCTCCGTTGGAGACAATGATTCCGTACTGGCCGGATAATAGGAGCGAGAGGTCGGGGTCTACGCCGCCGCGGAACATCCCAGCTCAAGTTACGTATGCCATGCTCAAGTATGAGTGGGAACTTGGCCAACAGCCCGCGGGGAGGCGACAGGGCATTTCAGAGAGGACGCTGTATTGCCTGCAGAGATTTACAAACGATACCGCACATCGGCTGGATGTGGCCAAGGCTCACCTTGCTGCCCAAGCCGGCAGCACCGATGGCAATCTTCCGACAGACTACGGAATTCAGGGGCAGATAGATCCGTCCCTGATGAGCCCCCAGACTCAACGGGCCTTGTATGACCAGACCGTTTTACTGGCGAAATGCTATCTGCGTCAAGGAGAGTGGCTTATTGCTCTGAATAAGAACGATTGGCAGCATAGCAAGGTGCAGGAAATCCTGAATTCGTATTCTCAAGCAACCAAATACAACCCGCGATGGTACAAAGCTTGGCATGCCTGGGCATTGGCAAACTTTGAGATTGTCCAGACTTTGTCTGCCAGGACTGAGAGCCAGCTGTCTAGAGCAGACCAAACGCTGCTTATTGAGCACGTGGTTCCTGCCATTCAGGGATTCTTCAAGTCCATCGCCCTCTCAGTCGGAAGCTCTCTCCAAGACACGCTCCGCCTGCTTACTCTGTGGTTCTCACACGGCGGCAGCGCAGATGTTAATGCAGCTGTCATGGAAGGCATTAGCAATGTCTCTGTGGACACCTGGCTGGAAGTCATTCCACAGCTCATTGCTCGAATTAACCAGCCTAACAAACGGGTGCAGCAGGCTGTGCATAACCTACTGGCCGATGTTGGCAGAGCCCATCCCCAGGCTCTCGTATATCCTTTGACGGTGGCAATGAAATCATGGCAAAACTCGAGGAGGTCCCGCTCCGCGGCGCAGATCATGGATAGCATGAGGCAGCACAGTGCCAATCTGGTTGCTCAAGCGGACATCGTCTCCCATGAGCTTATTCGTGTTGCAGTTCTCTGGCACGAACTTTGGCATGAAGGGCTGGAGGAAGCCTCTCGTCTTTACTTTGGTGACCACAATATCGAAGGCATGTTCGAAACTCTTGGCCCCCTACATGATCTTCTCGAGCGTGGACCTGAAACCTTGCGTGAAATTTCATTCGCGCAAGCTTTTGGACGCGACTTGAAGGAGGCCCAAGAATGGTGTCACCAGTATGAAAGTTCGAAGGATGTGAATGACCTCAACCAGGCCTGGGACCTCTATTATCAGGTGTTCCGAAGGATCTCTAGGCAGCTACCGCAGGTCACGAGCCTTGAGCTTACATATTGCTCGCCGAAGCTCCTCAACGCCAAGGATCTGGATCTTGCAGTCCCTGGAACATACAGAAGCGGCCAGCCAGTCGTCAGAATCATGTCATTTGATACTACACTTAGTGTCATCAATTCTAAGCAACGGCCACGAAAGCTTATACTCAGTGGCAGTGATGGTGTGTCGTATGCCTTCCTCCTCAAGGGTCATGAAGATATCAGGCAGGATGAGCGAGTCATGCAACTCTTTGGTCTCTGTAATACTCTGTTGGCCAACGACTCTGAATGTTCGAAACGACATCTGAACATCCACCGTTATCCTGCTATCCCGCTATCACAGAATTCGGGTCTTTTTGGTTGGCTCCCAAACACAGATACTCTTCATGTTCTCATTCGGGAGTACCGTGAAAGCCGGAAGATCCTGCTCAACATTGAGCATCGCATCATGTTGCAAATGGCGCCTGATTATGACAACCTCACTTTGATGCAGAAGGTAGAAGTATTCGGTTATGCCCTCGACAATACTACTGGTCAGGACTTATACCGTGTCCTGTGGCTAAAGTCCAAATCATCTGAAGCATGGCTCGAACGGCGAACCAACTATACTCGCTCTTTGGGCGTCATGTCGATGGTCGGTTACATTCTTGGCTTAGGTGACCGACATCCGTCAAACCTCATGCTTGATCGTATAACGGGCAAAATCATTCACATCGATTTCGGAGACTGTTTCGAAGTAGCGATGAAGCGTGAGAAGTATCCTGAGAGGGTTCCATTCCGACTGACTCGTATGTTGACATACGCCATGGAAGTCAGCAATATCGAAGGTAGCTTCCGTATAACATGTGAGCATGTTATGCGAGTGCTCAGGGAGAACAAAGAAAGCGTGTTGGCTGTCCTGGAAGCGGTATGTGTTGCCTGCGCGATGCGTGATGAGTGTTGTGTCATGATTCTAACATTTGCACAGTTTATTCACGATCCTCTCTTGACATGGCGCTTGACAAGTACGGCATCACCTGCTGGACCTAATTTCCAATCTGAGCGCGAAGTAGCTCTTGCAGGCCCGACCGCAGGCCGTGCTCGCCGGCACTCAATTTTGAACGCAGATGTTGCGCCTTCTGAGCTCCTTGCTGCTAATGGCGAACCTTCGGGGCCACCTACATCTAGGGCAAGAGCACGTACAAACAGCTCGGCGGCCCCTGATGGTAACGCTATTAATGGTGCGCAGGAGACAGAGAGCCAAAATGCCAGAGCGGTTGAAGTGCTAGATCGGGTGCAACAGAAGCTCACCGGCCGAGACTTCAAGAATAATGAGGAGTTGGATGTGATCAATCAGGTCAACAAGCTGATTGTTGAAGCTACGAAACTCGAGAACCTCTGCCAACACTACATCGGCTGGTGTAGCTTCTGGTAAGCGCATCTCCGATTTTCAGGGTATACAGAGTCAGGGCGTCCCTTTTTAGTTGCTTCGTACTTTTTTACTCTGTTCTGGCTCAGTTACAGAGTATAATAGCCGGAGTTTATTGGGTGTATATTTTAGGAGGTGGACTGTACTATAAACCATGGTTTCTTCTATCGCAACGTTGGGGTCTCTATCCCAGCCTTAATGATACCTTGACTAATGGTCAATATTACAAGTTGATTTGTTCTGCTGCGTTGAGCAATGACGACAACCAGTTTACGGTTTAATGAATATCGGTGTTTAATTGAAGCAGCCTGCTTGGTCAATTTTTTAATTTTTTTTTGGGCTAGTTCCTAAATACCTGTACTTGTTTCATATCATGACAGAAGTGGTTCATCCTCTTCGTGGGTTGTTGTCGTGATCAGCATGTCTCCATCTTCGCCTGCGTCTTCAGCTACTCCGTCTAGAGGAAGAGTTGCGTTTCTATCCTCGGATTTTCCAAACAGACTGTCCATATCTTCTAATTCTCTACCTTTTGTTTCTGGATATAGAAGCCAAATAACCTACACCCAAATTCATTAGGTTTTCGATTCTTGGGTATTTGTACTGCACGACAGTGGGTGACGATTTAGGGCAACATATCATACCGGTACGCATATAAAGTTGACCACCATGAAGAAGAAGTATATGCCGCTGCCAAATCTAGCATTTCCAACAGGCCAGATCTGAGAAACGAGTATGCTGCCAATGGAACCACCTGATGCGGCAAAATTGAGGCCCCTAGCTCGTACTGAAGTTGGGAAGATCTATTATCTCTCCCCCAAAAGGGAGGGGGAGGAGTTAGTCCCATCTTGAATCCAACATGAGCATCCGTGAAAACGACGACGTTCTTACCTCGGAGCTGTATACCCATGCGGCAGGGCCGAGGCCAAGACTATACCCCATAGCGTATATGAATATGAATGCGATGCAGATGATGTCTGCCACCTTGCTCTTATTCCCGGGGTACATGATTGGCAAAAGACCGTTTACCTAGACTCGTCTCCGTCAGAACAGAGCATCGACTTTCTCATCTCTCTCTGTCTCTCTCTGTGGGAAGTTAGAGGAAGAGAAACACTAACCAGCATGGCAACGCCCATGATCAAACTCCCGCCCGTCAAGCATGTCCTCCTCCCAAACCAATCAATCGCCCACATCTCTACAATGGTCATGGCAATCTTGATGGTCATTTCCGCGGCGCCCGCCACCAGCGCCAGCCTGTACTCCAGGCCGAGGGCCTTGAGCAGCGTGGGCAGGTAGTACTTTATGGCTGTGGCGCCGCACATTTGCGCCATGAACTGCAGGAGGAACGCGCGCCACAGGCGGGCGAACAGGCTGGCGTCGCGGAAGAGCGAGAGGGACAGCGAGACGAACGTCGCGCCAGCCTTGTGCCGGGATTCGACGTCGGCGCTGATGGCGTGCAGCTCGTGCGTGATGGCCTCGGCGGCCACGGCCTCCTCGCGCAGGTAGTGGAGGACCTTGGAGGCGGTGTCCACGTCGCCCTTTTCAAGGAGCCACCGTGGTCTGTTTTGGATCTCGTATTAGAACGCGGCCTCTTTGCGAACGGAGGAAGAGCCGGGGGAGGGAAAGGGGCCGGCAGACGTTTCTGGGAGGAAAAAGAGCCCGGCGATGAAGATGGCTGCCGGGCCGCACTGGAGGAGGATGGAGCCTCGCCATCCCCAGTACCTGCCCGCGTCGGAGGTCCAGAATGTCATGCCGTATCCGACCCTGCGACGGGTGAGCTTCAGCCAAGACCTCGGGGTCATGAGCAGGCGGCACATACCACAGACCCGAGGCCAGTCCGGCAATGAACCCGACGTGGTTGGTCGTGACAAACCTGCCTCTCTCCTTGGCGGGAGACACCTCACTACCGACGGGCGTTAGGGAGGGGGGCGCCATTCAGGAAATAGGGGTCTGGGGGAAAAAACGACGCCATGCTCGCACCTCTGATACAGCGGCACCGTGGCGCTCACGACGCCGACGCCCACGCCGCAAAGCCATCTCCCAAGAGCCATGGCTCCCACGGCCGCGCCGCCGTTCGCAGCCGCCATGCACGCCGCGCCCAGGCACAAGGCGCCCGTCCCGATCGCGGCCGCCTGCCGCCTGCCCAGGTAGTCGGCCAGCGGGTGCGACAGCAGCGTGTACGACAGGAACGTGCCCAGGTAGTATATCCCCGTGATGAGGCCCCTTTGCGCCGGCGTGGGCTCACCAAGCGCCTCCCGCCAGCCGGGGTGGACGAGCACCGAGGAGAGGATGCCGATGTTGTAGCCCCATATCGAGGCGCCGATGGCGAGATGCAGGCATATTCCGTAGAGGCGCCTTGTCCCTCTGGGCAGGGCTGACAGCCGTCTCATGTTTGCGAAAATGAGTCGAGATTCGCGTGGTTGGGTGAGAGCGCGCAGGACGGGGTCGAGTTGAGTTTGCCCTGCCGTCTTCTGTTTCCAAGTTTTGAGGATACTTGTTGCCAAGATAATCGTGGATGCTTCCCGGGCGTCCAGGATGCTTCAAGACGCCTCCAGATGCCCAGCCATGTCAACATGTCGTGACCCAAGATTGATGACATCTACAGTGCGGGCTTGTGTTCCGCATGATGGAACCACCAGACATGTCCAGCGTTGTGGGTCTCATCATCTCATGCAGCTCATCATTCGCAGCGGAGAAACCGCAGGCTCCTGCAAGAACACGCGTGCATCATCGTGAGTCTGTTGGCCATGTCAAACTCCATCTAGGCAAGCGACCGACACAAGTCATGGAAATATATTGGCCTTCTACATCATTCATCAGGCGCGTCGGCACGGCCTGATTCTCTACAGTGTCCAGTTTTCGTTATCATACATTTGGTTGAACCGATTTTGAGCCTCGCATCTACAGCTCGTCCTTCTTCTCTCCTCCCAGCTCCGGGTCATCGCAGGCAGCCGGAGTGCCCACCTCCATCTTGTACACGCACTTCTCGGCTTCGCTGACTCGCCAGAGCTCCTCCTTGTCTGCACATCCAAGCCAAACCTCTGTGCTCCGTCGGGGGCCGTTCCAGCACTGCTGTCCGTCTTCGTACTTGAGAACCATGCGCTCGCCCTTGCCAAGACTCTTTCCGTCAAGTCTCTCCTCGTCGTCAGCCAGCTGTCGGTCGATGCGAGCAAAATTGCCCATGTTGGTATGTCCATGACCCTTCTTAGATTTCTGCATCGTCTTGTCGAGATAGCAGAGTTCATATTCGTATTCACCGGCATCGATGCTGACGCACTTGCCCTTGATGCCGCGGAAGATGTCAGAAGGCCCATAGTCCTTGTTGAGATCCTCCGTCTCATTGTCGCGATCGCGAACCTTGTCTCCGAGCTCTCTCTCAGCTGCTTCGGCCGCCTCACGAGCAGCCTTGACTACCTGAGATTCCGACCCAGAGGCACCTTTGTCGGCCAGGATGCCATTCTGAATGAGCCAGAGTCTCGCAGCAGTCACTTTGTCGTGTATGAATCCACGGAGGAAGCCTGGAAGATAGGCCTCGAAATTATACACTACAAAAAGTTAGTCAAGTGTCGGCAACGCCAAGTGACCACAGTGACTGTAGTCTAGGACTTTTCGCGAGGCTTCGAGAAAGAAAGTTGGTTTCACTCACAGATATCAGTGTCAGAGCCCTCCTCGCCGCCCTCAAACTCTGCCCAGTTGATGCCGCTGCTCTCGCTATCCTCTTTGAGGATCTCCTCCACATCAGAGTCAATAACCTGTTCATGAACGGTGTCGGCTTCCCTGGCGGCGTAGTCCTCCCAAGACTTGACGGCAGACTTGACACCCTCATCATTGAAGTTGGGGTTATATTCGTCCTTGAACTTTCTGAGAATCGTCTCCAGCTCCTCCACTCGAGAACGAAGATCATTCCGCTGCTCCAACACCTTGCTGAGCGTGTTGCGCAGCTCATTGACCCGGGGTTTGGCCACGCCAATCAGGACACCAAGCTTGCCTCCAGCGCCTTCGCTCTTCACCACTCTGCCCCTATCCTGGAGTTGGGCGGCGGCGTACTTCTTCTGCAAGTCGGCCTTCTTCAATTCGAGACTCTTGATTTCCGTATTCAACTGGGCGATTTTGGCTTGAGCTTTCTGGCGAAGCTGCTGCGCCTCGCTCAGCATAGCCTTCTTCTGTTTGGCCGCCCTCTGCATCTTTTGCCTCTTCTCGTCCGCAAGCCGCTTGTATTCCTTGCCGATTTCGACACAGCGGTTCTCGCACTTGACACCCCCAACATGGCCGAATTCCTCGGAACCATCGCAGCACAGGTCGTAGTCGCACATGCCGTCGTTGACGTAGACGAATGGCACGTAGGAGCCAATGTGGCCCTTGTTCTCGCACCAAAAGCCGGGAAGCGCAGGCTGAGCTTTCGCCGAGACCGATCCGGAGCCTGGTAGCGGTTGCTGGGGAGAAAGAGGGTCGATGTACGCACATGCAGCGGTGCCAGGTTCGTCGGAACCATCTGGGCAGTCACAGGTGTTGTCATTGACCCGGTCGAAGCTCAGCTTGATGGATGCATCGGAGATGCAGCTGAACTCGGTCTTGCCTTGGTAGTGCGAGGCAACTGCACCGACGTCGATTAGCAATTGGGTCAACTAGGAGATGTCGAGGGGGTTGTGGCTTGCGGCAACGTAGAGATGGCAGCTCCCGTCAATTGGATGCAGGCACAGCAACTTACACTCGGGCCCAACACCGCGCGGCAAGCTGCCAGCAGCAACGGCGGCGAGGGAAGAAACGGCGCCCAGCAGCACCAAAGAACGTGGGTGCTGCATCGTGAGCGGTGATGCGGTGATGGGAGGATGGATGTGGTGACGGAGGATGGTGGAGGAAGCTCAGTCACGGTCCCTGGCCAAGGCGAATCTGAACACGGTGACCGATTGGGTCCATAGGTCGCAGTCTGTTGTTACCCATTGATGTCTGGCTCAGGGCGGACGGGTTGAGCTGGGTTGAGCTCCAGGGGCTCCCAAAGCGTGTTGCAGACCATTAAGCCGTACAGACCCACAGGCGGCAAATGCTCGGCCTTGTAGCACTAGCAAATGGACCTGACATCTGGACCACCTAGTAGCCTGGGCCTCTCTGGTGAGGGGTCCAACGATCTAAAATGCCCCTCCTTCGAACGACTCACCCAGACAAGTGCAAATAAAAAAAAAGCCTGGTCGACGAGGACATACTCCAGCCGTTGAAGCCTCCAACCCCGCCATCATCGCCACAAAGGTGACGGATGAAACGGCCACAGCCATACCAGCTGCTGCTATTCGTCACCAAACCAACATTCAAACGTATGATATCATTATCAAACCAAAAATGCATTCCGAAAACTCGACCGCAAGACCTGCAAGATTCAAGATGCCTCCAAAAGACACAGACGCCATAAAGGTCCTCGAGTCCCTCGTCCAAACAGCCTCCGCCCTCCTGACTCAACTTCAAGCCGTTCTATCCGAAATACACAGAGCTCCCGACTCCGCCCCCTCGAGCTCGTCCTCGCCATCTCCCGAGCCAGACCCAAAGATCAATGCCCTGTCACTCGCTCACGACTCCGCATCCCTCATCCGCGCCCACGGCACCAAGGTCTCCCTCCTGATAATCAACGAGCCATTCACACCGAGCGCCGTGTCAACCGTTGTGCGGGAGCTTGTCGCAGGCCCTATCCCCGGACTAGTCTCCGCTGCCGAAGCATGTGCGCCGAGGCAATACACCGGCGTTGTCCGCAGAGAACTAGCCTGGCGTGCGCAGCGAGTCCTCTGTGAACTCCAACAACTACTACAAAAGATCCCCAACGACGGCAAGGTCCTTTCAGAAAGAAAGAGGGAGGGGTTTGCAAAGGGTGAAAAGGGCAGCTTGCCGGCCACGGGTCTCCTTTGGTCGGCATGCGACAATGTCATTGACCTTTCGAATTTGGGCGTAGGGGGATTCTTTATTCAAAAAGTCGACCAGTGGAGGGATATTCTCAACGACGTCATGCAAGAGATGAAGGAATGGGGTGACGAAGAACCCGATCCCGACTCCGACCCCGACCAAGACTCTGACTCCGACGTAAACAACCTGTCCGACCAACTCGGCTCCCAATCCCTCTCCACCCAAGCCATGCTCGACTCCCTCATGAACTCGCACCAAACAATCCCCTCCTCCGACCCAGACCGCATCCGGCCCCGACTCGAAACGTCCCTCAAGCGCCTCCGCCTCGTCACCCTCCTCTACCAAGCCCTCACCAAGCGCCGCCTCAAAAAGCTCCCGGCGTTCCCACCTCAAAACCCCGACTCCAACGTCCCCTCTCGCCTGGACGAAATGGCCAAGGTTCTCGCCAAGCTACCCGACAGCTTTGGGGACCTAGCATGCGCCTTTTACGAGCTGCAGCCATCCGAGATTGACAAGACCATGGACCAGTGCTTCTTCGATGCCTTCGCCGCCAGCGAGTTGTTTGTGAAAGACTGGGAGGATGGACGGGACGAGTTTTCAGAATGGACGGACAAGTTTCAGACGGAGATGAGAAAGATATGATGGTCCAAAGGGCACATAGACACACCCTGAATGTCAGCGCGTCCGTAACGTTTTTGCACCATGTCTTCAATTATTAGCCCTGTGTTTGTCCTTCTCGGGCCTTTCGTGGTCCTGCATGTCTCGCCACGCAAGCAACTTTACCCAGAACACGTCTCTCCGCCTCCCATACCGAGGGGACGTGCTGCGCTTCAAGAACTGGCAGATGCCGCACCCACGTCGTCCGGAAGGCTTGCCATCTCGGCTCTTTGACGAGCGGTCCATATTTCGCGATGCGCTGTTCACGTAACGTGTTGTGAGGAGGGGTGAATATATCTTTCTTGGCTGAGGGGTCATGGAGATGCGACTCATGTTTTAATTTGAACAGGTCCCATGCACTTGACGTTGGGAAGGAACCAGCCTGCTGAATGGATGTGGTTTACGCAAGCATGTTCAATGCTGCATGTAGAAGTCGTTACAGGTACCCAAGTACTCCGTATGGTCCAGGGTACTTTTAGGTTTGTATGGACCAGTCAGATGGCACGGCGCCAAATCGCATTTCTCGTAAGCGCGAGCCGGCCTATCCCTGTTGGCGCATTTCCCCAGCTCGATCGGGCATTTGATCCGCTCGCCGAGCTCAGCCACAGAACCAGGCAGCTTACGCGCTATGTATCCATGTCTAGTACATTGTTCCGTCACTCCGAAATAAACTACGTGACCATTTTAGCATCTGTAACTTTTGATTTGCATCACAAGCGACTGTGAATTGTTTTATTTAAATGCGGCACCAATACCAGCAGCCGCCTATTGAGACTGCTTGCCGACCCAACGCTTAAACTCCGTTCATGACCCAATTTTTGTAATGTCACTTTCAAAATCATCACCTTCGCTTTCGTAAATTGGGCACACCCACCATCATAAGAAATATGTATCTGTATATAAGCACCGGTGCATCCAGATGCCCATTCCCGTCATCTCAGTGCTTCATTATCTCACCAAGCCACTTCCACTTCAATGCATGGCTTCGGACGGTCGCACTCGCACACTTGGGTGATGCAGCTGCTTAGCGTCTGGGCTGTGGACATCGTCATCTGGCATGGGAGTGCCGGGGGTTATGGTGACCTTTGGGGACAACTCGCTGGCGCCAATAGTTTCGACAGCTGTCGATTCACTACTCAACGCGGGTAGTGATTCCTTTTCTTCTTCGCCAGCTTTCTCAGCGCCCATTGTTTCCACATGTTCAGCTTCTGCCTCTTCCTTCTCTTCCTCCTTTACGTGTGACAAGGGGCGAGTTGTTGCGTCCTTGAGATGGCCTGATGAAGCCTCTCCTCCATCCTGCTGTGCAGATCCATCATCAATGTTAACTCCGACCAGTTCAGCCAGGCTGCGGAAGTTGAACAAGGGTTCACTGCCGGTGTCTCGATCGCCTTCAGATCGCGAACCTGTACCATCAGCTCCAGTAAATCCTGGCGCGGTGTAGCTTCCAGAAGGCGTGTCGACGAGCGATGATCCAAGTGAGGAGGCATTGCTCATCTGTCGCAAATGTGAGCCACCACGAGGACGGCTAGTGGGAATGGGAAGCGAGGCGGCAGCAGAACTGCCCGCTGCCGTAGCATCCTCCGGTCCACGATCCACGGCTTTGCCCTTCCCCGGAAGCTCGCCCGTGGTTTCGGGTTCGGCAGTTGGCAATTCCTCCCCTTTTGTGTTCTGCGACGCTCCCTGCGTAGTAGCCTCAACTCTCAAGGCACTGGCTCCACTATTGCCGCGCCTTCGGCCAAGGCCCAGGGAAAGACTACTTCCGCTGGCACCGCTAATGTTCCCTCCATAAGGGTCTTTGTTTGCCTTCTTTTGAGCCTTCTTCTCCGCTTGCTGTCGTTTCTTGGCTTCCTTACGTAGGGCCTTCTCTTCTTTCCGTTTCCGTTCCTCTTCCGACGCAAGAGACAAGCGAACAGCCTCCATGAACATCATATCTTCGAGTTCCTCCATTCGAGTCCGACGGGTACCGTCGGCATTCCGACTAGATGTCCTCTCGTTGGGGTCAGTCTCCGCTTCGCCGGGATTGTTGTGCGTTTGTTCGTTTCCAGGAGTATTTGTTCCGGTACTCCTTCGTCCAAACCTGCCGGGACGGAGAATGGATCTACTTTCCTGGGCTCCGACCAAGAAGGCGGCAGTGTGCAGGGCCGTGGCGGCTGCGGCTCGGCGTGCCTGATGAGCACGAGCAGAGGCCAGCTTTGTCGCCCAGTCCGGACGAACTCGGTCAGTTGTGATAACATTAGGGGCGGTTGCTGACAAGCTATGTGTTCGCCGCCTCGAGACATGTAGCGGGGTTGATGGAGAAAGAGTGGAGTTGAGAGAGCTCTGCGAGGACATTGCGGTTGAGGAAGCGACATTAGATACGTAGGTTGAATAAACTAATCCTCTTCGAAAAGACGGAGGCTCGTACGTAACGCCAAATTCAGGCTGTTGGCAGTAGGGGCATGCTGATGGTTCTGATATGAGCATCTCGGGCGGGTCTTCCGGATTGGGCCCCTCGTTCGGATCCCTTGTTTCGCCATTCGGATGATGCTCAGGCAGATGAGGGTCAGCTCTCTTTATTTGCACAAAGCACTCACTGCAGATAGGCTGGTCGCAGCATCGTGTGCGATTCAAATAAGGGGGGTAGGACAGAAAGCATATAGGGCATTCGGACGCGTCCTTGTACAGGTATACCTCGATTGGCTGTCCATTAACAAATGGGTCGTGGGGTAGAGGCACCTCCTTTGGGGACAAGTCAGTAGATGAAGCATTTCTGGAGCCTACACTGAGAGCTGCTGCGAGTGCCTTGGCCCTTGGCTTGATTGACGATGTTTTGGGAGGTGCTGCCGTCGTTGGAGAAGGAACAGCAGGGCCAGCCCCAGAGCCACTACGGTCTGAAGCGGCAGACATAGTTCTAGGACCCATTGGAACGGTTAGATTCTGCAAGCTGTGAGTGTTCCCCCCCTCTGGCTGAGGTGGTGAAGGGCGAGGAATTAGGTCAGTCTCGGGAGGCGCATCGGCGGCCGGGACTGGCAAGCCCCGAGCAGCTGCTACAAGTTGATGTTCTGCCCAATTATCGGACCAGTCATTCAGACCGCGCCAGAAAGGGGCTAATTTCCTTTCGATCTGTATTGCGTGTTAGTGTCGGAGTTGTGCTCATTGACCTGTGCAGCGAGAAAGGGAAAGGACAAAAGAAATACACACCTGAAGCTGTCGAACCACGGGCTTGCTGAAGTCTTCGGTGCCGGTATATGTTCCCATTGTCACGAGGTATCCTCCATCTACATGTTCCTCCCGGATGCTTCGCTCTCGATCCTTGGCTCTGGTCAGACGCTCCTTCTCCAGTCGGCGAGCCTCGCGCTCTTGTCTTGTTTCACGATGCTCGAATGGAGCATCCTGACGATCTCGACCACGGTCACGGGGTGGCTGTAAACTAAGAAATCCCCCCAGATCCCCCCTGCTCATGCGATTGCGCGACCTTCCAGACTCGCGAGGATCAGAGGAGCCGTCGTGGTGGTCCGGACGGGACTCCTTGGTGTTTGAATTGCCCATGGTGAAGGCACCGCACTTTGCGGCTAGGCAGAAATTTGAATCTGCGCTTTCGCTGCTAGAAGAGTGGATATATGTATTGTAAGTGCGCTCGATGGAATTTATGTCGTGTTTAGGTCTATAAGGTAAGGCCTGAAACAGGCTACCGCCGTACGGATTCCTGTCGCAAGAGTATTTCCGATTCTTGATATCTGCCGTGACCAAGTTAGAAGCAGCACCTGTAAAAACCCAGAGCCTCTGACGCCATTTCCCAGATTCGTAAACGCTGTCAAGTTCACGGTATGACAACCGGCTAGAAGGGTTTGGGCCCCGTTACGGCAAACATACATACCTGATACAGTGCAACATTAAGCTCTCGTAGAGTATGTCAGGTGGACAATGCAGCACGAGGATGCATGTCGGTATCGATAGTGCAGTTGGCGAAAGACCGATGTTTGCCCAGCACCACAGCCAAGTGCACAGGAATTGTATTGGGGTTTTCGGGGCAGTAGAGCGTATGAGATAAAATGTTCAGATGGAGCAAAAAGCTGATGTGTGCAAAGCCACAGACTTTGAGGTTTTTGTTTCGGAGCGAGGTTCAAAAAAAAAAAAAAAAATCGAGGCGGGATTTTGGAGGTGGCAAGTGAGCCGAAGAGACCGAGGAGGCCGGCGACGTCAATGAGGGACAGGGTTCGGACGCTGAGGAATGAATGCGTGTACCCCGTAGCAAACACGGCAGTGTGGTGTAAAAGTACTGTAGGTATGATGCTCGACGATAACGGGTGCTGCTACGGATAAGAGTATACAGGCATAAAGAGTATGGCGATGGCGAAGAGAGGGAGAATGGACGTTACGAAAGAGAAGTGCAGCGCTGACGCTGGTGAGTGCAAGTGGTGAGCGGGAGGACGATGACAAGCGGGATGATGATGTCGACCACTGGCTGTTGGACTTGAGCAGCTGGCACACGGGCACTGGTGTAACTTCTAGGTAACTAGCCGGTCGGCTGGGGGCTGGTGGGCTGGTGGGCTGGTGGGTTCTGCTGGTGGGCTCCAGTACTCAGTGCTACTTGTCTGGTGTAAGCCTTTCAACTCGGTGCTCTGGACTCGCCTGATAGCACATGTGCAGCCAGCTGGCAGCACTTGCGCACTGAGGCGGCGTTGGACCGGCTCCACTCCAAGTTTGGTACTCCAATATTATCCAGCGCTCAAGTGCTCCCAATGTTGGCACGGACTTGGACGATGGGGTTTTCCTCCGGTCGGTCTTGATTCTAGATTTGCAGACAATGAGCAGCAACGAAGCCGTTTCTTATCCCAGATGCATCCATCAGTCGGGAGGCGCTCTCTTTGACTACGTGTGGTCCGACCGCCTTTAATGTTCTTTGTGCCCCCGGAATCATAATGTCAATGGCTACTAAGTACGGAGGACTGTAAAGTCTGGTAAGCTAGTAGGTACCTACTAGTACCCAAGTCCAAATATCGGGGCGAGGTGCTCGCAGTGGAGGCCAGCTGGTGGGAGCACATGCTTCAACAATATACTACGACCTAGCACTCCATGTTTCATCCTCCCTCCATACTTGCTTGCCATGCACACCTGGGTGATGGGTAGCACGAGATGACCCTCGTCAAAGGTATATTCTATGACTTGGTTGGTGAATAGCGATGGGATAGCTGCAGCATTCATGTTGTCAGCTTGTTGAATCCACAATGCGCACGGTGTGTGAAGGTCAACTACCAGACTTTGTTCCGACTTGCCAGGTCATGTACCCCATAGACATGTGCATCCTAAAGCAGCTAACATCAGCCACGTTGACTTGCTCAAGGATGGAAACGGAAATCATCCGTGCCGCGGGAAGCCTAGTACCTGCCCACCTCCTCCAACCGTACTACAGCATGCCTTGTAACGCAAGAATCCAGTAATACTACTACCGCAGGATCTCATCTTGAGCCCGGCGCCAGCCGAGGGAGCCAAGATAGAGCCAAGTCTCCAAGTCGGCGGCAAGGAAGCTGCTGCGGCTCCACCGAGGTCATCAAATCGATGGCTTCGTCAGCTCAACGCCATCATCCATGTATCCGAATCAAGAACAATTCCATAATACGACCCGCCTGCGCCCAGTCGACAAGCCACGAATCACAGCATAGGCCACGATTTCCTGCATATGCCATTATCCATGTCCCTACGGAGTACTCAAGTACACATACATGTACGGAGTGCAATACGCAGCACAAACATCAATGCATGTTGCGACTGCGAATCCCCAAATCCGCGCGTCTGGCAACCCATTTTCGAGTTTGCATCCAAATAAAGGTGGCCACACCTAAATGAGCCATCCGGTCCATCCGAACTCTGTTGAAAACCCGCCCGCATACGGCCAGAGACAATCTGCACATGTGCCAGGGCGCATACTCGAGCACTACGGAGTACTAGAGACTTCCGGCGTGGCTTTTACCTTGTTGCGTACACTTTTTGTACGCCAGGGCGATTTTTATCCAACCGCACGCTTCAATGTCCTATCAAGTGCCGCTACAGAGACAAATAGGTGTACTATATTTAAAGTGTGATGGCGACGAATACTCTGAAAGGCGGGAAGGAATGTCTCCGACTCAATCATGAGTCCAAGGTGCGGAGTACTTCCGCCTCAAAGATTGAGAAAGGCAACAAGAACAATACGGTAATAGCGACACGTGCAGCATAGGAATCCGGCCGCCGCCTTCGTATAAGTATCATCTACTTGATATCTGCAAATACGCAAGGAGAGCAGCAGCAAGCCCTTGGGAGCAGACCACATGTCGACTGGCCAATAATGCCAATATTGTGCAGTCTAGAGATGCCGGGAATAGACAGTTACCATCTTTGCTTCTTGCTGTTTTTGGCAGATGCTCTTAGGTGACAAGACTCAACTTTCGTCCATGAACCGCAACCCAATTATCCCAAATCTAAAGTCGATGAATACACTACAACCGCGTAGCATTTCTTCAATGTCACAATTAGTAGCCATGCCAGCGAGTATGGCTATTTAGCTGGATCATCCGCCTCCGACGCCCACAATATCGGCCCTTTACATATCTTTTCCTGAGCGTACGAGCGATACCTGTCCAAAATATCCGTCTTGGCCATGCCGTCTTTTTGGGCGCCGAAGCTATAATGAGCCGCTACGCCTCCACCGGCTGCCACCACGGCTATTCAACCAAGACACAATTAGTCAACTGTCGACTTCAACCGAATAAAGGGTATGCAAGGCTACTCACAACGTCCCAGCTTCCGGGGCATCTTGACGCTAAAGTAGTCTTCGTCATCCGGAGCAATGGGCTTGACACTATTAATATCCTTGCCGGTCATCGCGATGAGTTGGATGCCCATTCGAAGGTCTCGATAGTCCCAGGCGTGAAACCGATAACGCCATAGCTGATCTGTCTCTAGATGCTCCAAAAAACTGTAGTGCTGCTGCGCTCCAACTATCCAATTCCACCAGCCAGGGCTCGTGTAGGCATCATACGTGGTCGTCGTGATAGGCGTCCCGTCGAGAATGTGATCGACCCCGTGAGGAACTGGCAGCCATCGGTGCTTCCGGCCCTCAGGTGGAGACCATTCGGACATATTGAAAGCGTTTGGGGCGTTCCATTTGGGAAGAAGCGATGCGCGCCAATTAACGGACTGTTGATCCTGTTTTTCGTCATCTTTGGGGTAAAACACCTCGGTTTCTGGCAAGTATGGTCGTACGACGCCTAGACCCCAATGCAGCCAACTGCTCAGGGGCTGGTTAATAATATTGGCCCCAACAGCAAAATAGTCTGGCCGAGTAGCTCGCAGGTGCACCATGGACAAAATTGTGCTGTCTTCGATATATACCTTGACGTTGATAAGTATGATGAACGTTGAGCGGTGCCTCACAAAAGCTACGTACAATATCGGTGTCTACTTTAACGTAAAGGACATCATCCTCGATTCCATCGTATGCGCTCGCATAATTCCCGTCACTATTTTGGACGTCAATTCGTGAGTAGTCCGCTTCAGAGTGAATAAGCTTGTCGAGGAAGGCCAAGTCAGCTTGGTCCTGAGTGCGTTGAAGCCAGATAACCTCGTCGAGGATTCCGCCGTTCTTTACAAGGTTGCGCTGTTAATTTGTGCACATGATTAGCACCGGCTTCCGATGAATGCGCAGATTTCTGCGCAATCCTCCCTTTTTTTAAAAAAAGGGACTGGTCTTGATTTGATTGATACGGGGGGAAAACAAAAGGAGGTCGCGTATCGGCTCACCTTGAGGTAACAGTCCAAAATCGAGGCCTGACTGCGTCTACCATAGAATACCAGTCCTACGATTTTTCGTATCTGCGACTCCCTTTGCCACGTCTTTATATCTGATAGCATGCCACGGTCAAGCTTGACGGCATCTCGAAGTGGTCGATCAGGTGCGGTGATGCCCAACTCTCCTAGTCTCTCCTTGAAAAAGAAGTAGGAAAGGAATACAAGTGCCAACGAAATGCCTAGCAGCATTCGCTTTTTGACGGGATTCAACATCGCACCCCGAGTCCCCATTGCCGCGAAAAGCAGAGGCTCTCGCTAGTCTCGTGCAAAATCAATCGGTGGCCCTTGACGGGAGATGCGCAGCATTTGTGCACAAGTCTGACAGGAGGCTTGAACAGAGAGTCTTTATGAAGAACATATAGGGGCGGGTTTGTGTAACAGTTTGCAAAGGCCAGTTATGTTGTCTCATGTAGCATCAATACCAATAGCATCAGAAGAGGCTGCAATGCAGGCTGACATCGACGACAGCTCACCTGAGACCTTGCTGTAAGCGTCGAGTTGCCACGGAGAAGAACTATACTACACTCCACCTGCTGCCAAGCATTCTGCAGGTGCATGACACGGCGGTATTATTGTGAAATTAAATCAAAGAGAGAGAAAAATGTTTCGAGAAAAGAGCCAAGCACGAAGGAATATGTCTCCTACGCCGGGTATCCTGGATCGCATCATTGGTGAGCAGGGACAGGGGGAAGCAGCGATCAGCGGTCTTGCCCATCTCTGTC